CTGCTGCAGTAGCCCTATGCTGGCTGGGTAGCAAAAGCAGCCATTGTCCAGGCAACCTTAGAATCTTTCGGTAGCTGCTGTTCTGCTTCTTATTAACGGTAGAGATTTTCAGGAACCCCAATGCAAGTCCCTCCCAAAGCCTAACAGGACTCCACCCAAGACCTAGCTAGTCTTGCTTGCTGCATCCTGATGCCTCTTGTGGGCGGCAGCTGTTCAGAACCCCCAGGGAACTCCCTCCCAAAGCCTAACAAGACTCCACCCAAAACGGCCTAAGAACCCTCTTCTTCCTAGACAGCTGTGTTTCAGCTCCTTCTCTCTTCAAGTCCTGATCCCACTACAGCATTTAGACTATCAGCTGTCGCCTTTATTTACTGGCTGGTCACCCAGGCTCAGCCAATCAGTTTTGAGCTTTCTGCTGGCTCTGCCCAGTCACGTATACCTACATGTGACTAATAGCTCCTCCTCCTCACCAGAAGTCCCTATGTATTCCTAAGGGCCACAATATAGTCTATGGAGGTTTTTCAGATGATCTGTGGACAACCCCTAGCTACTTCCTATTTGGAAGCTGTATATATTTCTATGGGCTACAATGTATCCCTATGGAATTTTGCTGAGTCATTCCTACAGGACGTGAAGTTTACCATTTCATCACAGGAAGTGACATTATAACATCATAGGTAATGGACCCCTATATTTCTTAGAAATGGAATCTTCCACTACATTACCTTGAAGTTGCCATTACTGGATTTTCTAATTTAAATTACTATTAATTTCTATTTAATCAAAGCCCTATTCTTAAACTAATCACTACACTAAGCATCCCAAAGGGTTCTGACACCACCACAACTCCTTTTATATCTTACTCACAGCAACACCCTACAGTGGGATCAGTTACAACTGCTGGTATCCACACACCATTATGTTAATACTCTATTAGTAATCATGGCTACTTATGATGTATCATTGCCTTTGCCAGCAGCCAAAGCTGGCATATAGTTGTCTTAGTTTAACCAGGTTGTAACCATGGGAAGCGTGTGGCTCCAGCATTTGGGGAAGCTGGCATGAGCACCGGAAGCTCCCCTGGTGCCTGGCCTGTGGCTCCACTCCCGCTCCACCCGCACTCTGCCCCGTGCTCCACCTCTGCTTCATCCCGGAGCCCACCCTTGTTCCACCCTCACTTGGCCCTAGCCCGCACTCAGCCCCCCACCCACCATCACTCCTCTCCTCTATGGCGGAGGAGAGGAGCAAGCGGGGGGGCCTTGGGAGTGTGTGTGTGGGGGGTGGAACATGGGCGGGGTGGAGGAGAGGAGCAACTTGGTGAGCAGCAGATGGAGAGGGGGCTCGGGGGAAGGGGCGAAGCAAGGACAGGCCGGGGTGGTGGGAACAGAAGCAGCGTGGGCAGGAAGAGACGCAGCATGGGTGGGGCCACAAGGGAAGAGCTGGAGCAGGGCTTCGGGATGGAGTACAGGAGGGGCCCCAGCCCAGGCATCTGTGCTCTCAAAGGCACCGGGTCGGAAGCTGTTTGGCGAGGCTTAGCCTCCCCTGGCCTATTATACCCATTGCCCATGGATGTAACAGTCATTTTGGGTGGGTAAGGACCATGTCTCTATAATTAGGATAGCCAGGCCTAACTCCCCGCTCTCTGTGCTACATCAGAGTGCATTGCCCTATGTGTGCTGTTGGTACCACTCTGCATGCATGTCCTCTGAGCTCTTTCACTCCTACTGAAGCAGTATGGAAAAAGCTACCCAAAATTAACTGATTCAATCACAGCAAACATGATAGGTGTAGATGGACAAAAATGCATGACAGATGATTATGTTGTGAAAAAAAAGCTGTTGAATAGCACAACTTTATGTTTGTTGTGAACAGTTCAGATGACAGTATGACTAGCCAGATACCGGTAGCACAGTTATGGACTAAACCTTGCTTCTTCCACAAGACCCACAAATATTAACCCAAACCAGTAATTGCTGTCACCACTCCATTTTAAACAAATCAAAAAATTCCCCAAATTAGCACAATTTTTGGTGTCTTGCGTGTGCAATTATTGTAGATGTATTTTTAGTTCATAAGCCCCTTGTGGGAGGAACTGTGTCTTGCAAAGCACTATGCACTTAACTGTTGGCACTCAACAAATAATATAATAATAAACATTGTTACAATGAGGTAATCTGTTGGGCACACATAACAAGAATCTTGTGTCTTTCTTAGACTATTAGGGCCCAATTCTGCAAGGCCCAAAATGCTGGATGTGACTTTGTCCCAACATCTGCAGCAAATTTTTATGCTATGCAAACTGTGAGGATCGGAATCACATAGGGACTGAATAAAATTTAATAAAGTAAAGGAGGGTAATGTAATTAATACCAATCAACATGGGTTTGTAGAAAATAGATCCTGTCAAACTAACTTGATATCTTATTTTGATGAGATTATAAATTTGGTTATTAAAGGTAATAGTGTGGACATAATATACTTAGACTTCTGTAAGCCATTTGACTTGGTACTACATTGACATTTTTATTAAAAAACTAGAATGACATAAAATAAGCATGGCACACATTAAATGGATTAAAAACTGGCTGATAGTCTCAAAATGTAATTGTAAAAAGGGAATCGCCATCAAGCCAGTGTGTTTCCAGTGGAGACCTGCAGGGATTGGTTCTTGGCCCTATGCTATTTAACATTTTCATCAGTGACCTGGAAGAAAACATAAAATGTTCATTGATATAGTTTGCAGATGACACAAAAATTGGAGGAGTGGTAAATAATGAAAAGGACAGATCTCTGATTCAGAGTGATCTGGATCACTTGGTAAACTGGACGCATGCAAATAATATTATATTTTAATACAGATACATGTAAACGTATACACGTAGGAACAAAGAAAGTGGGCCATACTTGCAGAATGGGGGACTCTGTTCTGGGAAGCAGTGACTCTGAAAAAGATTTGGGGCTCATAGTGGATAATCGGCTGAACATGAGCGCTCAGCATGACGCTGTGGCCAAAAGAGCTAATGTGATCTGGAGATGCATAAAAAGGGGAATCTCAAGTAGGAGTAGAGTGGTTATTTTAAATCTATATTTGGCACTGGTGCAACCACTGCTGGAATACTGCCTCCAGTTCTGGTGTCCACAATTTAAGAAGGACGTTGATAAATTGGAGAGGGTTCAGAGAAGAGCCACAAGGATGATTAAAGGATTAGAAAATATGCCTTATAGGATAGATTCAAAGAGGTCAAACTCTTTAGTTTAACAAATAGAAAGTTAAGGATGACGTGATTACAGTCTATAAGTACCTGCATGGGGAAGAAATATTTAGTAATGGATTCTTCATGCTAGCAGACACAGGTGCAACACAATCCAACAGCTGGAAGTTAAAACTAGACAAATTCAGACTGGAAATAAGGCATATGTTTTTAACAGTGAGAGTAATTAACCATTGAAACAATTGAGCAAGGCATGTGATGAACCCTCCATCACTCACAATTTGTTTTTCTAAAAGCTCTGCTGTAGGAATTATTTAAGGGAAGTTCTAAAGCTGGGGTCTCATACACACGGCCTGCGGAGTTATTTGCTGCGGCCCGCCAAGCTCCCCACGCCCCCCCGGAGTTATTTCCTGCGGCCGTCAAGCTCCCCTCACCCGCCGCCCCCCTTCCTTCCCAGCATACCGTGTCCATGCTCCTCTGCCTACCTCCAGGCACTTTTCACCACCAAACAGCTGTTTGACGGCGCTTAGCACTTTCCAGGACAGAGGAGGGAGGAACCACACACTCAGGCGAGGAGGCGGAGAAGAGGTGGGGCAGGGATTTGGGGAAGGGGTTGGAATAGGGAGGGGGCAGAGTTGGGGTGGGGACTTTGGTGAAGGGGATGGAATGGAGGCAGGGCAGGGCCTCATGGAAGAGATGGAGTTGGGGCAGGGCTTTTGTACCTTTATATGAAAAGGTGTCAGTGATGTGGCCCCTGGGCCAATGTACTAGTCCTCATGTGGCCCTTGTGGTGATTTGAGTTTGAGATCCCTGTTCTAAAGCCTGTGTTTTAATTACAGGAGGTCAGAGTAGAGCAAAAGTTCTGAAACTGTGGGTAGAGACCCCAAAGTGGGTCATAACCCCATTTTAATTGGGTTGCCATGGTTGGTGTTAGACTTGCTAGGGCACGGAGCCATTGGGAAAGCCTGCTCCACACCACCCTGTGTGGTGGGGCTCAAGTTACAAGCCCCCCGCCTGGGGCTGAAGCCCTTGGGCTTAGGCTTTGGTCCCCCCACATGGGGCAGTGAGGCTCAGGTGGGCGCAGATTTATGTCCGCCTTCCTGGGGTCATGTAGTAATGTTTGTTGTTAGATGGGTGGGGGGGTTGCAGCACAATGAAGTCTGAGAACCCCTGGAGCAGATCATCACAAGGCTCCCCTCTGACCTTGGAAACTAGGAACCTGGGTAAATCTGTGCCTTGCCCAACCTGCTTGATCAAATCTCTCCTCACGAGCCCCGTGCTCACACAAGGGAAACCAGCCAAATACCACAACTACCTACTAGCACGAACCCCGCTGTTTGGTCTCCTGAACACCGTAGGGCGAGGCCGCCCGCCCTGCACATGCCGCACAGCCGCTTTGTGCGCCCTATGGAGTCGGCTGAGGGGCCCCCGTCGCCAGCGCCCCGGCAAAGGGGGAAACGCCCCGCTCCCATGGGGGCGCCTGTTGCCATCAACCCCGCAGCGCTGGGGGCAGCAGGAAGCAGCCCACGCTCTGCACGAGCCGGGGCAGCGAGACTCCCGCCACGGCTGCCAGCCGCGTCACTGCGGCCGCTACAGCTCGGCACTGCGCGCACCGGCCCGCGCTCCCCACGCAGGTTTCAGCCCGGCTCATTGGCCTCGCTCCTCTGCCTGCGTCTTCCTATCGCAGCAGCGTCTGATTTCCCCCACCCTCCGGAGCTCGGAGCCGGAGGACCTTTCCCAGAATGCCCTTTCAGGCGGCGCGCGGGGGCCTGGTTGGAGGCGTCTCGTTGTCAGGTTGCGCCGCCCGCCGCCACGCTGTTCATCTGTCGCAAAAGGCGGTTGGGCAGCGCCGCCGCGCGGCTTCCGTGGGTGCTGCGCAGTCGCCGCCGCGCACTGACATGTGGCCGGGGAGCCGCTGAGGAGCGAGCGGAGCAGGCGGCGGTGGCGCAGCGCGCTTGGAGCCCGCCCCTCCTCTCGCGGAGCCTTTAGGCCGGGGACGAGTTCCGGGCTTCAGCCGCGGAGAAGCGACCGCGGCGGCTCCCGGAAGCCCCGAGGCGGAGCCTCCATGTTGGGGAAGCTGGCAGCGCGGCAGTGACCGGGCCCTGTGGGGACGCGGGGCCTCTACGGCCGGAGCCTCCGATCCTTTGCGCCAGGTACGCCCGGGGGGGGCGGCAGCCCGAGGAGGGGCTGGGGGCCTCTTAGGGCCTGGGGAGCGCTTGGGCGGTGTCGCGTTTCCTGGGACGCTGGTTCCCGGAGAGGGGGCGCAGGCGGGGGGACTCTCGGCAGCTCCTATGCTACAAGTGAAAGTAGTTTGAGCCGGTTCCTCCCGGTAGGGCTGCGGGGCGACTCCCCAGTCCCGTGTTGGAGGCGGCAGCCCGGCTCCGCGGGGCCTTCACCTCAACTTGAAGCCCACCGGAGAGTTACGGTCTCTAGTTCCCCGTCGCCGGGGCAGCAGGCGGGATTTGGTGCCCAGCCCGCTGCGCCCCCTCCCCTCCCGCCGTGGGTGGAGACTGACGCGAGCCGATCGGATCAAGGGTTTAAACCCAAACGTGACAGGCCGTTGTCCTGCAGGCCCTGGGCTTGGGCGCGCTGCGCTACTTGGGCCCTTACCCGGCTGGCTGCGCATCTCCCCGGGGCAAGAGGGAAAACAAAGGGGATCAGCGGCTGGAGTAACTGAGCTCCCGAGTCCCCGGGCCAGCGCCGGCCTCTGAGCCTGCTCCGGGCACTGCTCCTCGTCGTCCCCGCTCCGCCAGCATCCGAGGAAAGCTTTTGTTACACAAAAACAAACCACCAAAACAAATCCCGACTATACGTAATCGAGATAGGCACGGACCAAGCTTTGTTAAAATCGCGTGTGTACAGCAGTCCCGTGCACTGAGCTAAATGTTGCTCCCGTTCGAGTCGGTCAAAATCTTTTCTATCTAGATCACTTTTGTAATAAAATGTCTGGATACAAGCTTTCTGTATTGGCATCACCATATCAGCACATTGCATTCAGGCACCAAGAATTAGATTAAAACCTGAAATTGTAGTAAAGTTAAAAGGAGGGACTTGGGATTTATTATGCCGGAGTAAATCAGGAATAATTTGTCATTGGAATTACATTGGGGTAAAACTGGTAGTGAGGAAAATTTGACCCTTAAATCAGTGAGACTTTATACTTGAGTTTTGGAGGGAATGTAGTGGTGGTCAGCCAGTGTCCTCTATATATATATATATTTTTGCTTGATATCCATTAAAAGAATGTTGTTGGACAGAGGAGGCCCCAGGTTTAAATGTACATATATATTTCACATTCTCTAAAATTAATAAAAGTAACAGTATTTTATGCTTATTTAAAATTGAGAGTAATTTTCAGAGACTTTAAAATCTGCAGTGTTTGTACTACAGATGCTATGAACCTAAATATCCAAAAAGAGCAAAATACAGAAAGTAAATAGTGAAAAGTAAGGTAACTCTTTTGTGTTTAGTAATCTTATGTGATATTAGTGTAATTGGTAAGGAAGCTTCTTTTAAAAATATAAATAGACACTATCCAGACAGTTCATTTGTGAATTTTCTGTACTGCTTCACTGCTTATTGGAAAACACGTTTTTGTGCTTTATATAGATTTTCATTAATATGTATTTATATTACAATAGTGCCCAAAGGTTGGGTGCCATTGTACAGATATAATAAATTACAGCCCCTACCCCCAAAGAGTTTACTTTCTAAGAATTATCTGGGATGGAGGGTCCAGTGCAACTTGACCTTTTTTAAAAAAAGCTTCATGCTAAATATAAGATTCTTAATTGCAGCAATAAAACTTTTATATTTAAGTTAAAATTTAAAGATTCAGCTGAAATTTTAAGTGGAATGTAGCACAGCGCAAACTTTGATATCCGGTATAGCAGTCCAATAGTTGCATTACAGTTAAGGTTGAAAAATACTTATATTATGCTATTTTCTAGGTTCTTAGAACTTTCTGAAAAGCTTAGCCTTTGGGCTCTTATCATTTTGGGATTTTACCATTTAAAAAAAAACAAATTTCAGAAACTTTTCTTTGAACTTTTTCATTTTAGGAGTTCAGTGAGGAATGAATTCTCGAGAGAAGAGAAGTTTCAGAGGGGTAGCTGTGTTAGTCTGTATCACCAAAAACAACTAGGGGTGCCACAAGGACTCCTCGGTGTTTTTGCGAGAGAAAAGAATTAGTGCAACTCTCATACATGGTATGGCTCTTTGCTTACTAGTAATGTGAGCCCCGATCCCATATATACATCCTCACAGATTCAGCTGCAGCGCTTGGGAGCATTGTTTTGCTAGCTTATACATATACTTGTTTATCTGCACATTGAAATAACCTATTACATGTACATAATTGCATATGCAAATAAATCTATAATAGTTATTGTTCATGTAATGCATATGCAACATGAAACGAAACTATATCACGTGTATAAGTGGGTTAAATGTGGTTCCTGTAAGGGACTAGAACTTATATATTTCCTAACTTTTTTCTGTAAATGCCTAAATATAACATTGCCTTATTGTATTTTTTTACCTTCTAATTATCTGATTGGACTACGGAATTGTCTCTGTGATGTTTTACACAGTTTCACTTTAAAGATAGATAAAAATTATATAAAATCAACAGAACTTTATTTACCAGTTATCTCAGCAGTTTTATAGCTTTTTAGGACTTTTATACCAGTGAGTTGATATTCAGTAAGTCTAAAAAGAGCCCAGGGGACTAACTCAATTATTTTTTTGCACAACCACAGCATTATTCATATGATCATTAACACATTTGGCTTTTAACACAACTTTTTCTTAAGGAGATTTGTCTTTTAAGGGAAAGACACCTAACTTAGGGCTAGCATATACTACCGGGCTACGTCAGTGCAGCTGCACCGATGCAGCTGCTCTGCTCTAGCGTGTCTGGTGAAGACTTGCTATGCCGACGGGAGAAACGAGAGGGGCAAGCTATGTAGGCAGGAGAGCATCTCTCACCAACATAGCATGGTGTAAATACTGCTTTAAGTCGATGTAACTTACATCGCTTGGGGGGAGGGATGGCTTTTTCACACTCTGAGGGATGTAACTTGCATCAACTTAAGTGGTAGTGTAGACAAACCTTTATCAGAGTGGTACTGTTTGATGCCTACACCTAAAACGTAGGTCATCTTAACAGCATAGCTCACAGTTGCGAAAAATTTCACGCCCTGTCAGACATAGTTAGGTTGACTTACTTCCCCCCTCACTCCCAGTGCCTTTGTAGATGCAGCTAGGTCGAATGAAGAAGTGGATTACCTATGTCAACGGAAAAATCCATCCCATCGATGTACAAAATGCTTACGCTATTGTTGCAGTGCTGTGGCTATGTTGCTGTATTGCAGACATACCCTAAAAGAGTTCAAGCTTACTGTAAGGACGAAGAGTGGAGTAAATCCTTACCTGCCCTACCCTTCATATATAAGTAATAACCTTGGCAACAGTAATTAAAATATCAGGATCTTGAGATGAAAAGACAAATTAATATCACTAACTAAAATGTACTTGAATTTTATTTTGTAGGGATATGAAGTAGTCTAACTCATCTTGTACTAATTATTGTGAAATTATATTTGGAAGCCTAAAAATGGGAAAGTTAGTTTGTGCCCTCTTTGGTTGCTTTATGAAGCATAAAGAAGCCTTGAAAAATATTTTTTTAATTCTTTTTCCACTTGTCTTTTACCTTAGAAATACCATGAAACACAAGTTTTGTCTTTCCTTTTTTTACTAATGGTCTCCTTGGAGGAGACCCTGGAAGTGGATTGGGAGCTTCCACAGTCTTTTACTTAGAGGTCACAGTGTTAAATCTTTAACAGATATCTTTCTTCTCAGTTGTGATGTGTATTAACAAAATCAAACAAGAGCCTGAATAAAAGTTCTTCCCTTTTCAGTGGCTCGGGTTTCACTCATTTGGTACTTGTAATGTTATCTTAAAAGTTATCCAGTTATACATAGTCTTCCGGGAAAAAAATAGGATAACAAGATCTGAATTTCCTGTGTGTGTATGTGTTAAAACAGAAAATCCTCCCAAATCCCTACTCCCAAATGGTCTTAAAAGTAAGAAACAAAACTCTTTAAACATTATAAAGAAGTAAACATAGTCATCCATTTTTTCTTCTTGTGTGAGATATCTTTAAGGCTGAGAGCCAGTTTATTCTAAACTTCTTTGGAAACTTTTCAAATGTTCTCAGGACTGTCATTTTATTTACTACTTGAACATTTTCAGGCACAATATATTAGGATTGTATCCCATTAATCTAAAACTAAACATTGAAACTTATTAGATGAATGTTAATCTAATATTTATATGGTGTCTTCACAATCTGTGTTTATGGGGCAGTGGTTATCATGGTACCTGTGTGTATCAGAAATGTGACTTCATATTTGTTGGAATTTTAGTTCAGTAAATTTTGAGCATAGACTTCTATTCGTTTGTTTTAGGAAGGCAGAAAGTAATTTCTGCTCAGGATATGTCTGGTTACAGACCACCATATTTAGTTGTTACAAGGATGACTGGATGTACATGGAAAATTATAAATTATGAAGAATTCACCTTCAATATTCTGTGGGAAATTGAGAAGTCTGGAACTTTTTAAAGAAATCACTTCAAATGTATGAAAATATTTAAAGATAATTTATCCAACAATTAATTTGATGTGTAATTTTAAATAAAATAAGCTCTATTTCACTCAGTCTTTTCTTAAATCCTTCCTCAACAGGGGTTCCATTCCCTCTCAAGGCGTGGGGGAGTGCAATACCTTTGCCGAAAGTGTGGTAGATACACTTGGGCCATGTCCACTGGGTTTCTTATTAGTGTCGTTCGGTGGTTCTCAACCTATTTACCATTGTGGCTGCACATGGAGCTCTCTATATGTTATGTTTAGGGCTCCGTGCCTATCACGGATTCTGGGCGGCCCCGGTCAGTGGTTGGCGAGTGGCCGGAGCAGCCACTGCTTGGGCAGCCCCCAGGGTGTAGGAATACCATGTACCCAAGCAACCGTAGCTATGTCAGTGTGTGCATTCTTCCATCAACATAGTTGCGTCCACCCTGGGTGTTAGTTCAGCATAGCTACAGAGCTATGGGGTGTGTTTTTTCACACCCCTGGTCCATGTAGCCATGTCG